CAAGAGAAAGGACACTGGGGCAGTGACTGGGTGACCCGGAATGCACAATAAAAGAGGGGTGATAATCTCATTCCTCAAGTCTTTATAAAGAGTGCAAGCCAGAAGGGCATGTGCCACCGATTCAGTACTACAGGGACATAAGCATTTTTCGTGTGGAATCTGTTGGAATCATCCCTCAAGTACAGCCGAGGGCAGTACATTCAATCTTGCGAGAGTAAAAGCGCACCTATATTTTAGAATTGCTAGGTTATGCAGATAGGGAGCCAGAGAGTCAAAATGGGAAGGTGGAAAATAGTCATACCATGGGCAAAATATCCTTATTTCGGCCAAGTTGTTCTGAAGCTCGATATCATTTAGGCGCTAACAAATTAGACTGTTTGCTTTACTCTAACACAAAGTAAGTAGCTGTTGTGGTGATAAACTAGAAGAGTGAAGTTTTTGATAGACAATTTTAGTCCAGGCGCTCTTCTGACAATCTTGCAGAAGTCAAAGTATTCTTACATGGATAGTGGCATCATGGCACTACCCATAATGCAACAGTGCTTTTTTGCCAAAGGAGCTTCCCCATTAGTGAAACTAGGCCATGACGTACTGTATTTTTCTGTCTATAGGACGCCCCCATGTATAAGATGTAATCATGTATTTTGGGGGACTCAGATTTAAGAAAATGAGAGGAGATGTATTCGTGTAATAAGACGCCCCCCCCCTAATTTTTGACATTATTTTTTAGAGAGGGAAACCTAGTCTTATACACGGAAAAATACGGTATTATGCGAGGTCTCCTGTTCTCCATCTCCAAAACCACACATACAGACATTCACACGTGCTTCCTATGCTCTTTGTGTGGAATTTAGGCCTGCCATTTCCCTACCTGCTGATGAATGGAAAATGCCGGCAAACTCTAGAGGCAGTGGCATCTGACACAAAATGAAACAGGCAGGAGCGAATCCTAGTATGCACGGTACTGTACCACATTATAAAAAAGCCATTGGGCACAACCCAGAATATTACTAAAGGTATGTCAAGATACTTGTTGTATAAACTGAAGTTTTTCTCTGAACAGCCGCGGGTTAAACATGCCACGTGGCAGATTGTGGAATGCACCCAATCATTTGCCAGTGGTGGGGATGGTTCAAAAGATATTAAAAACAAAACAAAAAACCATTGTCAACACAGTTCTTTTGGTTACATCAATTCTTTCCCCAGGGAATGTGACCACTGCCTCTTTAACTAATACTGTCAATAAAAGAAAATACCTGTGGAACTTGAGCGCTTCAGGACAATCAGTTGTATCACCGAACAACAGTTTCTGCACATTTTCGTAAAAACGCCACGTTTCCTTCGGGGGTGGTGGAAGTCTTCAGTCCTCCACTTGGTCTCAGAGGCCAAAAATGCCATCCTAAACAATAACTTTAGGTGTTTTAACTTTTACTGGATAGAAGGAATCGTCAGATTTCTCAAAGTGCATCTTCAGCTACAAAGGCTCAATGAATCATTTAAACAGGTCCCTTTTTTAATTCACACCCTTTGGACTCAAAGTTCATACTTTACATGATAATCATTTAGCCCATCCTTTATACAGGAATCCAATCACACTGCGCATTTATAGAGAACCCAAATCATATTTTCATCCCATTTACATCTCAGGATTATAAACAAATCTTGATTCCTTACCTTGATCGGTTGTTTAGGCAAATGAAATTGTAATTAAGTCTTATTATCCTTTCTATTTTAGAGATTTCCCTTCTCTGAGATTTCTGTTCTAAAAGAGTGTTGCACCCTTCTAGCTGGTTACTGGAAGACAGCTGTTGTGCCTGTGAGGAAATGAATAATACCACTAAGAATGCCTTAATTCCACTGTCACTCAAATGCAGAAAAGCGGTTTAAATGACTTGTAACATAGTGATTTCTCTCTTTCTTATGCTTTACTGCTTCGGTAGTGTACTAGGGGAAAAGATTACGAGTACCTAAAAGGTCAGGTGTGAAAATCTAGTGTGAACTCTCCTATCTGATGCCTAAATCATATTTTATCTTATGCCAAGGTCAGAGTGGCTATATTCTATTGCATGACACTCCTCCCCAGTACCAGGCAGGAGATACAGCTGCTCTCCAGCAGTTCATCGACTTATTTCACTGTGGCCAGATGCAGAATTATTTTAACAGTGTGGGTTTTTTTAGAAAGAGACGTCAAAAACTGAGCACATATTTTTTCGGCTTATTTTGATATTCAGTAACTAGCAACTAATTAAGGTTCTGAGTTGGTCCCCTGAGGCTCAGACCCCGGAACTCAGGAGGTGAAGCCTTGGAGCTAAGGGACAGTGACTCATAGGTCAGGCGAGTCCAGCCCAGTGGCCAAGCTACTAGCAATAACAGAAAATAGCTGTGCTGAAATCTTCGTCTGTTCCCTTGAGGACCCAAGAAGGCAGCTAAGAATCAGAAACTTAGTCAAAACTAGGCATCATTGTGCCTAGTTAAGAAGGATAGATGGCACCTGTTTGCCCAGCCCAAAGATGCATCAGCAAAAGACATCAGTGCAGCCTCTGCAGTCCACCTCTTTCCCCTAGGGCTGGGTGTACATCAATATGTGGATGATACCCAGCTCTACCTCTCTTTTAATTCAGAACCAGTGAAGGCAGTGAATGTCCAGTGTGAGTGTCTGGAGGCGTTTGGAGGATAGATGGTGGCTAACAGACTGAGGTTGAATCCTGACAAGACAGAAGCACTGTTTTGGGGGGACAGGGGGCGGGTGGGTGTGGAGGACTTTCTGGTCCTGGGATGGGGGAATTGTGCCCCTGAAGGACCGGGTATGCAGCCTGGGAGTCATTTTGGACTCACAGCTGTCCATGGAGGCGCAGGTCAATTCTGTTTCCAGGGCAGCTGTTTATCAACTCCATCTGGTACGCAGGCTGAGACCCTATCTGCCCGCGGACTGTCTCGCCAGAGTGGTGTATGCTCTGGTTATCTCTCGCTTGGACTACTGCAATGCGCTCTATGTGGGGCTACCTTTGAAGGTGACCTGGAAAGTGCAACTAATCCAGAATGTGGCAGCTAGACTGGTGACTGGGAGCGGCTGCTGAGACCACATAACACCGGTCTTGAAAGACCTACATTGGCTCCCAGTACGTATCTGAGCACAATTCAAAGTGTTGGTGCTGACCTTTAAAGCCCTAAACGGCCTCGGTCCAGTATAACTGAAGGAGTGTCTCCACCTCCATTGTTCTGCCCGGACACTGAAGTCCAGCGCCGAGGGCCTTCTGGCGGTTCCCTCGCTGCGAGAAGCCAAGTTACAGGGAACCAGGCAGAGGGACTTCTTGGTAGTGGCACCTGCCCTGTGGAACGCCCTCCCACCAGTTGTCAAAGAGAAAAATAACTACCAAACTTTAGAAGACATCTAAAGGCAGCCCTGTTTAGGGAAGCTTTTAATGTTTAATAGGTTATTGTATTTTAGTGTTTTGTTGGAAGCCGCCCAGAGTGGAGACCACATAACACCGGTTCTCATTAGCTCCCAGTACATTTCTGAGCACGATTCAAAGTGTTGCTGCTGATCTTTAAAGCCGTAAATGGCCTTGGCCCAGTATACCTGAAGAAACATCTCCACTCCCATCATTCAGCCTGGACACTGAGGTCCAGCTCCGAGGGCCTTCTGGTGGTTCCAGTGTGGAGCACTCCCTGAGAGCCAGTGTGGTGTAGTGGTTAAGAGTGGTAGACTCCTAATCTGGGGAACCAGGTTCGCGTCTCCGCTCCTCCACATGCAGCTGCTGGGTGACCTTGGGCCAGTCACACTTCTTTGAAGTCTCTCAGCCCCACTCACCCCACAGAGTGTTTGTTGTGGGGGAGGAAGGGAAAGGAGAATGTTAGCCGCTTTGAGACTCCTTCGGGGAGTGATAAAGCGGGATATCAAATCCAAACTCTTCTTCTTCTTCTGGTCCTGAATGGGGTAACTGTGCTCCTGAAGGACCAGGTACGCAGCCTGGGAGTCATTTTGGACTCACAGCTGTCCATGGAGGCACAGGTCAATTCTGTGTCCAGGGCTGCTGTTTATCAGCTCCATCTGGTACGCAGGCTGAGACCCTACCTGCCTGCAGGCTATCTGACTTTTAGAAGACACCTGAAGTCAGCCCTGTTTTGGGGAAGTTTTTAATGTTTGATCATTTATCATGTTTTTAGTATTCTGTTGGGAGCTGCCCAGAGTGGCTGGGGAAACCCAGCCAGATGGGCGGGGGTACAAATAATAAATAATTTATTATTATTATTATTATTATTATTATTATTATTATTATTATTTCCCTACAGGCACAAGTATCAAGTGTTGTACAGCAGCTGTGCATATTATGAAGCTATGAAATCACACCACCATAGATGCATTCATTGTTCTCAAAGCGCAACAGCCCATTCTGCTGTAAATTCCAGAGTAAAGTTGCTTATACAGCCAACTTTCACTCCCCTTTGCTGACTGAAAGTGCAAGGTGTCCTTCTGAAGTTGTTTATGGTCCTTAACATTGTAATATAGGGTTGCCGTATTTCAAAAAGTGAAAATCTGGACACAAAAGTCGTTGAGTTTAGCTTTTTTGTTGTTGTGGAGCTTTTCTTAAGGGGGAGGGGGTTGGGGGTTGTTGAGCTTTGTGCCCAGATGCTTCAGTTATTTCTGCCAGGACACTGTTTCCGACACCCATATTCCGGCTATGTCCAGCAACGCTATGTAAGATCTTGCCATTCCTCCTTTGCAACAGGCTTTCTTATCACCAAACGATCAACCTCTTCCTCACCCAAGTCATCAGAGTACCTAAGTCACTGGCATCCCGTGGACTTTTATGATGTCAGCATGCCCAGCTGTGACATCAGAGCAGCTCATCCATTCACGGTCAGGTCAGGCAACATGTTTGTTGATAAAGCATTGTTCCTAAAGCTTATGACGGCACTGTTTTCAGAAAAAAAACACAAATCCAATTTGTTTAGGAAGATAGTGTGATCATAGCCCACATTTCCATGTTCACTATTATGCCTTTCACACACACACACACACACACACACACACACGTGTGTGTGTGTGTGTGTGTGTGTGTGTCTCACTGATAGCTTTAGGCAGCTCATCTCTCTCACATGAAGATTTATTGCCAAATCTAGACAAACAGCAGATCATGAGATAAAATCTGCTGCTGAATTATTTTGCTCCAGAGTGCATTCAGAAGAACTGCAATGTTTGGGTCCATCCCCCCCAATATCATAAAAATAGTAATAATCTGACACAGGGAAAAATAGAATGTCAAGCAGATAGGCTAGAACACCTCCTGACATGCTTTATTTATTATTATTTCCAGGGGGTTGAGACACACACACACACACACACACACACACACACACACACACAATTTCAATCATGTGATCTGTAACCTGCAATCTGAAATAGGACAACCCAGAAACAATTTCAATGCATTTTCTAGTCTTTCTATAGACAGGGCTTTAGCAATTGCAAAGGTAATTTTGGGGGGAGAGGAAATCTTTCTGATTTTGTCACCACAACTATTAGGACAATAGGTCTTGTGAGGCAGTTATTTTTGCACATGATTTCCAGCAGATTTGTTTTTCAGTAGAAAGTTACTGGGTAATCCTGTGTCGCAGGATATGAAATCAAGACTCAAAGCATATGACGCCAAACCTTCCCAAAGGATCATTTGTTCCTGCATTAAAAGATCAGATTGTTGAGTTTGCTGAATAATTGAAGCCATATTTAATGGAATAATCAGCAGTTTTAAAAAAGTTCCAATTCCCTATCATTCTTTTCATTACTTTGGGCAATATACTGGATCCACTTAGCCAAGTGCTTTTCAAAACACAGCTGGTGTTCAGCAATCCACAGCTTATGTTTTTGAAGTTATTGCTGAGAAAGTAATCACAAATACTACCAAAAAATGACAATAATGGCACTTTGGGTGCTCAAGTCTAGTGTCCTGCAGACTGATGAGCAGCTAAGAGTGTTCTGCTACAACCCCTTAAAAGTTTCCAGAGTATCAGTGATATTAACAGAATGTGGCCTTGAAAGGACACCAAACATTTGTAATAAAGATGCAAATGCCTTTTTCAGAAAGCAGCCTTTTGCAACAATTATTGAAAAAGACAATGGGCAGTACAATTCTATCTGGGTTCACTCAGAAGTAAGCCCTGCTGTGTTCGAAATAGGACTTACTACCTGGGAAGTTTGCATAGGATTGCAGCCCTATCAAGAAATACCACTTCAGAATGATTTTCTTAAGGTACATTGCATTTATTTATTTTTAAGTTTCATAAATTTTCTCTCATCTCAAAACTGCAATCCAGCATGTGGCTTCTAATGTTTTCCTGCATTCCTTTTTTTATCCCTGTGTTCCAATGGGGTGGTAGGAATCATTCTGCTTCTAAGATTATGTCCATGAATTTCAGAAAGCAAGCCATCATTCTTTTTTAAAAAGTATCTTTTTATTTATTCTTAATAAATGATTCAAAAAATGAAAATAAAATAAACTAACATATACTGATACAAAAAGAAAAAAATACATATACCTCCTATACTACAAACACAAACCCCACATACCCACCACTACTCAACTTCCTTTGGTTCAAATTTGAATATTGTCATTGCATTCCTTGGATAATGCATCTCTTATAACCCTTTCTAAATATTGTTCCCCTTTATACTTTACGTACTTAATCAACGCGTATCAACATACACTTTTCAGAGAAGTGTTTTTCCATATATTCCTCGAAACATTGCCATTCTAATCTTAAATTTTGATTTGTCTGAAGCCTTGTGGCTGCTGTTAACCTTGCCAGCCATCATTCTATTGCAGCAAAACCATCAATAAACTGGCTTTTGCGAACCAGTTTAATGCATGAAGTGGTCTTCTGAGTCAATATAGTAATGGTAAAGGTAAAGGAACCCTTGACCATTAGGTCCAGTCATGACCGACTCTGGGGTTGCAGCACTCATCTCGCTTTATTGGCCGAGGGAGCCGGCGTACAGCTTCTGGGTCATGTGGCCAGCATGACTAAGCCGCTTCTGGCGAACCAGAGCAGCACATGGAAATGCTGTTTACCTTCCCGCCAGAGTGGTACCTATTTATCTACTTGCACTTTGACGTGCTTACGAACTGCTAGGTTGGCAGGAGCTGGGACCGAGCAACGGGAGCTCACCCTGTCACGGGGATTCGAACCGCCGACCTTCTGATCGGCAAGTCCTAGGCCTGTGGTTTAACGCACAGCGCCACCCGCGTCCCACTCAATACAGGACATGTGGATTAAAGAAAAAGGCAAGTAGCAGCAGCTTGGGCTTCACTGACTGACTGGCTTGGTGAAAGCATTGTGTGTTACACCATCTCTACAACCCAAGAGATTTCGTGTACTCATGCTGCCCGGCACCCAGGTTGGTTGGCATCTTTCTAACTCAGGAGACAATAGAGGAGTGCAACTTTGGAGGTGAAGTCAAACCATTGAAGGTTACCGCTGTGGCTGTAGAGACCAATACAGGAGAGACATGTTTCGTTGCAGCTGGGGCAGATGAAGGCTTCTGGTTGTGCTGTTGTTTTTTGTTGGAAGCCACCCAGATAAATAATAATAAATTATTATGAATTATTATTATCATTACAGTGGTACCTTGGGTTACATACGCTTCAAGTTACAGACTCCGCTAACCCAGAAATAGTGCTTCAGCTTAAGAATTTGCTTCAGGGTGAGAACAGAAATCGTGCTCCGGAGGCGCAGTGACAGCGGGAGGCCCCATTAGCTAAAGTGGTGCTTCAGGTTAAGAACAGTTTCAGGTTAAGTACAGACCTCCGGAACGAATTAAGTACTTAACCCGAGGTACCACTGTATTATTATTATTATTATTATTATTATTATTATTATTAAACATCATCCACCATGGCATTTCTCCTTTCTGCACTCCTCCTCAGTGGCAATTCTTCCTCTAGTCACTGCTGTGGATACATGACCTGTATGTCTCCAGGTCCAGCAGTCGTCTGCAAGAGATTCCCACAAAGCAGGGTTGATGTTGCTTGCCTTCATATCATGTCTGCAGACACCTTTGTAATGCTGGGTTGGTTTGCTAATGGGCCTAGTCCAGGGGTAGGCAACCTAAGGCCCGGGGGCCGGATGCGGCCCAAATGCCTTCTAAATCCGGCCCGCGGACAGTCCAGGAATCAGCGTGTTTTTACAAGAGTAGAATGTGTCCTTTTATTTAAAATGCATCTCTGGGTTAGTTGTGGGGCATAGGAATTCGTTCATTATTATTTTTTTCAAAATATAGTCCGGCCCACCACATGGTCTGAGGGACGGTGGACCGGCCCACAGCTGAAAAAGGTTGTTGACCCCTGTGGCCCCCAGTGTCTCAAGCCTCACAGACACTGGAGGAGGAAGAGGTGTACAGGGGGAGTGCACCGCCCCCAGCAGCACGATCCCGGTGGGGTGTCTTTAAGAAAACCCTCCAAAATAACAGTAACTTCAGTCTAAAACACAAAATTAATAATTATGTAAGAAAAATTCTCTGATTTAATAGGCTCCCTTTCCATGCTAAGTTTTCTTCAAATACAATTCTATCTCATTCTGGATTCTGATTTACAGGGGATTAAATCAGATGCAAACTTGGAGGAGAGCTGATGAATAATTAGGGTTTTCCACCTTGCCGTTTTCATCTGAAGACAAGTGACTGGACAACAGCTTGGTCAATATCTCTGGTGGATGATGTTCATAATAAAATAAATGTGAACAAAATGGCAAAACACCCTGAAACTTCCTAGCTATCTAAACAAGTTATTACTGATTCAAGATACGAAACCTTCAGATAGTAGCAACCTTGGTTGATCCCGATTACTGCAAATGTGATCATTTTTAAGAATACGACTAATGCAACATACATACACCGATTCCAATCTACTGGGTGGACAGTGGGGGAACTCATTTTTATTCTGCAACCGGCCTTCATCTTGAGCATGAGCAAATGTTTGAAGTAAGAACATCTACCCAAGCCACAGCTCTCAAAATACCAGCTCTGTGTGCCTCCCCACCTTTGCTGAGGTACCAGCTGGAAGTGTATTCAGAGATTGCAGCTGCACTGCAGAAGGGACTTTTCTTGTGAATAAATGTTTTCATTGTACACCAGCAATAGAAAGAGCGCTACTAACATATGTCAGGTGTTTGTTTATGAATTCCTATAGAAGGCTCATCAACCCACACAGTAAGCACACAAATGACATGAGGCCATTTTCTTTACCTCTGTCGTGCTAAATCGCCCTAGGCGATCGAGCTAATGACATAATTAAGGGCTCATCCAGACATCCTTTTCGCACTGTGCTTTCCAGGCACAGGTATGTGCTTTAAAGCTCTGTGTCATACCAGGATTTTTATTTTTTTCTCCCGTTGATTTCCCTAGGAAAATCCATGTTTTACTGCTAAGGTAAAGGTAAAGGGACCCCTGACCATTAGGTCCAGCCGTAACCGACTCTGGGGTTGCGACGCTCATCTTGCTTTATTGGCTGAGGGAGCCAGCGTACAGCTTCCGGGTCATGTGGCCAGCATGACTAAGCCACTTTTGGCAAATCAGAGCAGTGCATGGAAACGCCGTTTACCTTCCCGCCGGAGCGGTACCTATTTATCTACTTGCACTTTGACATGCTTTCGAACTGCTAGATTGGCAGGAGCAGGGACTGAGCAACGGGAGCTCACCCCGTCACAGGGATTCGAACCGCCGACCTTCTGATCGGCAAGTCCTAGGCTCTGTGGTTTAACCCACAGCGCCACCCACATCCCTGTTTACTGCTGTATCAGAGCAAACAGCAATCTGCAGAAAACCTTATTGCAATCTGCTCTTATTTAGTGGCAAAATGCAGGTTTTCCTGGGGAGAGCTCCAGGCCTAAACAACAAAAACCACCACCAACCAACTAACCTCTGACAAGTAGTTTTAAAGCCTGAACCTGTACCTAAAGGCTGACATTATTTGGTTAGAATTCTGCCTTATTTAAAGTTTCCTGAATCTAAAAAGCAGAGACATCACCTTGCCAACAAAGGTCCGTATAATTAAAGCTTTGGTTTTCCCAGTAGTGATATATGGA